CCCCCCCTGTGTGCTCCTCTGTGCTGCGTCCTGCTTTTCTCCCCTCACTCGTCGTGTGGGATCTCCCCGGCCCCCGGCCTGGGGAACACAGGCGACTGGCAATTAGACCCCCACGGCCAGCTGCCAACGAATATACCCCGCACCCGCATTCGTTGTTTCGCGAGGCACCGACCGGCCGCAAACGGGATCGACCCGATCGCGGGCGGGCGTACGTGCGCGCGCACAGACAAGGGGGGCAGGCTGAATCGCAGGCCCGGGGGAGCCGGGCGCCCCCGGCCGGCCGCGCCAGCAGATGTTGGGCGGGTATTTGGGCGAGGCCGGGGGCGGGAGGGCTGCTCCCAGCGAGCCGGGCCCTGAGAGGGGATTTTCCTCACAGATCGTCTTCTTCCCCCCCCCCCCCCTCGGTCAGGCTTGCCTTCCTTCCTTCGCCCCCTTTCCCCCTCGTTCCTTGCCTTGCCTGCGCCATCGCCTCTCTGCTCGCCGCCCCTCGGGTTCTCCCTTTCCCGTGTCCCGCCGGTTTTTTTCTTCTCCGTGGCAGACGCAGCCCCATGTCCGGCCTCGGCGAGCGTGGCCGCGGGGCCCTGTCGAGCATTGCCGAGTCGGCCATGCGGCTGCTTGGTGGCGTGCGGGGTGACCGCCGGCCGACGGTGCGGCCGCTGGCCGCGCATAAGGCCTCGGCCAGCCAGTCGGCCAGCCGGCCGGCCAGCCCGCGGCGCATGCGGCCAGCCATGCCGCTGGCAGGGCCGGCTCCTGGGCCGATGCCTGCTGACGCGGTTTCACAATCTACCACCCGGTCGCCACTGGACGCGGCCCTCGAGGAGGCCTTTGCCGGGGCCTTTTCCTCCCCGGGACGTGTGTTCCATCTGGCTTGGGCCGACTCGACCGAGCCCGGCCTGCGTGTGGTCTTCCTCAATCCGTCAGTCAGCTGGGCCCCGCTGGGGGAGCTGCTTGGTGGGGCTAGCGTGGGGCTGGATTTCGGCGCTCTACCCGACATGGGCCCCCAGCCGCACGGGTGTTTCCTCCTGCTGGGGCCTCCGCCGGGGTTTGCCGAGGACCTGCCCTCGGCCACCAGCGCCAGCCCGGGCCGCCCCGGGCCGGACATCCCGGCGGACGTTCTCCAGGCACACCTGGATGCCGATGCGGCCTCGCAGCTGGCTCGCCAGGCTCGATCCACGGCCGTCTTTGACACGGGCACCGGCGGGGAGATGGGCCGGACCACTGCCCGACCCTTGGAGACCGAGGACCCGGCGGGCGAGGACCCCGCGGCCGAGGAGGCCGATTGCCTGCCCCGCTGCTTTCCACTGCACTCCACCGAGTGCCTGATCCGCGTGGCTGGCACCCCCGGGGCCGGGCTCGTGGAGAGGGCCGACATCACCATCGCGCCGTCCTCCGATCGGCAGACTCTGGTGGGCACGGTGCCCCTGGTGGGGCTTGTCGGCCGGCGGGTCAGACAGGGGCATTGGCCCGGGGCGGGGTCCCGTGCGCCGGCCTCGCCCTGGCCCATGCCCGGGCCGGGGGCCGGCGTGGCGGCCCCCGGCTTTGGCCCGGCCACCACGCCCCCGGTGGCCGGCTGCACCAGTGTCCTTTCCCAAAGCGTGCCTCTGGTCCAACTCCAAGGGATCACGCCCTGCTCGGCGAGCCTTTCGCGCTATGTGGCCCAGTCCTTCGGGCGGATTGTCCGGGCACTCGGCCGCCGGGAGGTCGCGCTCTTGGCCGAAGACGTGGCCTTGGTGGTGCTACGCGCTGGCCATGGTGAGGGTGCTTCGGCCCCCGGGCCGGGCGCCTTGCCAGTTGGGGTGACGCTCTCGGCGCAGCGCCTCTCCGGCCGGCCTCCCGGGCGGCGCGCCGACGTCCTGGAACTGGTCAACTGGCGCCCGGCCATGGTCCTATCGTTGGACAGCTTCGCTCAGCTGTTCGGACTCCCGGCCGAGGACCTCCCCCAGCAGTTCCGGGCCTTGGCCGGTGCGCGCGCGCGCGCCGTGCGATCGGCCATCGATCGCTTTGTTCCCCTGGAGCACATGGTTCGTGCGGCGCCTTTGCGCGGCCGGGATCTTCCTGGCCGATGTGTGTCCTGCTCGCCTGGTCCTGCCTTGGCCTGGGTCTGCCCATCCGTGGTACTGACTGGTTTGCCCTTGCGGCCGTGCGGCCCTTGCCCACCCTGCCACTGGTGCCCTGGTGCAGGACCTCGGCATTGGCGTGTGCTCGCAGTATGATCTGGTCGGGTCGTTGACTCCACGGGTGCGTATGGGCGCCATGTGTGCAGTTCGCCGAGGGGGGTGGGGGACCTTTCGCGGCTCCCCCGCGGCCCGGCATCCGCCTCTAACTTTCCACCCAGCCCGGCCTGCCAGTCGGCTCGAATGTCAGCATCCGCCTCGAGTGGATCACGCAATCCGTGTCGAGTCCCTTCTCCCTGCGGGGGCTTGGGCCAGCCATTCGCGAAAGCTGGTCCGCGGGTTCGAGGGATTCAGCAAGGTCGACAATGGCCAATGCCCCGGTCCTGCCGCTCAGCGGCGAGCACGTAGCCCTGACTGGCGCCCTTCGCCGGCAATTTTGCGTGGACCTCAGCACGCATGGGGTCCCGCCGCGTCTGGCCACCGTATGTGCTGCTTTCCCTTGCCCGTGTGAGCTTTAGCCCCTTTCGTTCGGTCCCTGACGGTGCCCCTGACATGCTCCCTGGGGGGGTGTAGATCATGCGCATTCTCCCCTTCGGGAGTGATCCCTCCCTCTCACCGGTGGCCCGGCTCTGGGGCCGGGAGTTCGCCCGACTGGGGGAGCTCCTGCAGCAGGAGCTCGAGCAATCGGAGGGCACGCCAGTCGGTGGCACTTGGCACCGGCCTCCCGATGTCCCGGCCTTTGGCCTCCTTCTGGATCGTCTATTCCCTGGTTCGTGACCTTGCGGGCAGACGTGTATGCCTGCATGTGTGCATACGTGCACGCACACATGCATACGCACACACACATCGAAGTGATTTGCTCATCCATTCTGACGCTCATCCGCTTGCCCGTGTAGATACTCCCCAAAGTGCACTCGTGGCTCGGGAGAAGGCCTTCCTTCTCCAGAGGCTGCCAGCACCCGGCACCGGGGTCGCGCACCCCGGGCCGCCGTATGTCGACCCGGTGGCCGGATCCTTTGCTCCTGGGGACTTTGAGCTCACACGCGATGTGGGTCCAGTTGTCTGGCCCACCTCCCGACCAAACCTGGACCTTTGTGACAATGTGTGGGAGCTCTGCCTGCAGGCACGGGGCGTGGAGGACTTTCTGGAGATCCTCGATCGGCTGGGTGAGTGTGCCGACACCGGCTTCCTGGGTGGCTTCGTGCGATGACTTCCCTCTCTCTCTCTCTCTCTCTCTCTCTCTCTCTCTCTCTCTCTCTCTCCCGTCCTCCCTTACCTGTGTCTCTTATGCTCACTCCCGCCCTTCCTCATTTTCCTTCTTTCTCCTTCTCTCTCTCTCTCCCTCTCTCTCCTTGCCTGCCTTACTGTCGCCCATGCTGACACGCTCGCTTGCCCCTTTCTCCCGCTCGCCTGGAACCTCAGCTCCGCCCTGATAACCGCACGACCCTGGCCGGGGCGCTGCGCGCATTGGCTCCCGAGTCTGCGAGCCGCCTGCTGCGACTTGACAGCCTGTCAGTCGGCCGGCCGGCGGCTCTTGCCTCCTTCTCCGCACGCCTGGCCTACTGCCGGTCGTACCCCCTAACTTGTCTCATCGACCTGGGCATCGCCAAATTGACGGCCGACTGCCTGTGGCTGCTCATGGAGGGTGCGCGGAAACATCGCACTTGTCTCCCTCCTCGCCCACCCCGCTCCGCTCCGCCCCTTCGCCCATGCAAACGCGTAGGCATGTTTCCATCAGGACACTGACATGAGGAACCCCCCCCCCCTCCTTCAACCCCAGCCCATGAGGGGCCGCATTTGCCAGCTGCCTGTCTCGGGACATTGGGCCTGACTTCCCCGCGCCGGCCACTGCAGTTCCGCCGGCTGGAGCTCCTATCGGTCATCTGTCGCGGGTGGCTCCTGTTGGTGGAAGGGGTTGGCATCGGCCCCGGCGCCGGACGCAGCAGCGGCAACAGCAGCAACACCGACAGCAGCACCATCAATGCCGGTGGCAGCAGCGACGGCGGCAATGTCAGCGGCAGCAGCAGCAGCAGCAGCAGCAGCGGAGACGGCGGCGGCGGCGCGAAGGCCAGCAGTGCCGATGGCCCGCATGCAGTGGCACGGTCGGCATTGGCCTCGGTTGTCAGCTACACCCTGGCCGTGGACTGGGCCTCGGCCGCACTGGATCTGGCATTGGATCGGTGGCGGGCATTGGCACTGGCGCTGGAGCTGGCGCGGGCATTGTCCACCGGGCCGGCGGCCTGCCGGCTGACTCCGGCGCGGGCTCTCTGGGCCGATCTGGCCACCGCCTGCCGGGGGGCCCTCGAATCCGGGGATTATTGCCGGTTCCTGGGCGAGAGCGAGCGCTTCCTGGCGGCCGATCTGCCCGAGCAGGCGTCGGCTGGCGGACCAATCGAGGGGGCATCTCTGAGCCACTTGAACTTTGTGTGGCAGGCGGCGCATGAAGCGGTGGAGCTGGTGCTGGCTCGGTCGGTGGCCGATCTGGCCGGGCTTGCCACTGCCGACAACCATGTGGCCACGCTGGCGGCCGTGGCGGCGACCGAGTCGCTGGCTTGGCACACGGGGCTCACATCGGCCGTGGCTGGCTGCCTGGCGGCTATGGCCGAAGCCCAGGGCATTCAGCCTCCCTCGGGAGCGGCGGTGCCCGGTCGGACATGCCCGCTGGCCGGGCGCCTGCTTGCCCTGCTGGAGACCGCGCTCCAATCACAGGGCGGGCCTGATCTGGCAATGCTCCTGGACGAGGAGGGCCTCGATGCGTTGGACCATGAGGCGGTGGCTCACTTCATCGAGGGGGTTCCCTCGCCCTCGGAGCATGGGCTGCTGGTGCACTTGGTGGATGTCCTGGAGGCCGGGCCCGGTGGCAGTGGTGGTAGCGGCGGCGGCGGCGGCGGCGGCGGCGGCGGCGGCGGCGGCGGCGGCGGTAGGGGCGGAGACTCCGGCTCGGCCTTCTCGCCCTCGCCCGAGGACCTGCTGCAGTTTGTCCACCGGGCCACCCTCGGCCGGGAGGCCACCAGCATACAGATGATCTTCACCCAAAGTGGCCAGCCGGCTGGCGCCGGGAGTTCCATCCAAAGCCCGGCCAAGCGAATGGTGCGCTTCAGCCGGCGGGACCTGGTCTGGACCGGGCAGGATCCGCTGTGGGGTGGCGCTGGTGTGCCCGTGGGTAGCGAAACGCTGGCGACCATGGGCGATCTGGATGCATTCGACAGCGACGTCGTGGAAGAAGGGGCCGACTCGGAGGATGACGAGCTGGCGGCGATGTCGAGCTTGGCAGCCCCGCTCGATGAGGGTCGCCGGGGTGGTGCGTGCATGTCTTCCACATCGGTTCTGCTTTGTGAATCGTATCCTGTGTGTGTGTGTGTGTATGTATGCCTGTCTGTCTCTGCCTCTCTAACCACGCCGGAGCCCTCCTCTCGTCCCGCCCCGCTTTTTCATGTCGCAAAGGAACTGATTGGCTGGTGAGCACCGGAACAAGTCGTATCCGGTGCTGGTCGGCGATGTCATAGCACCATGCGTATCTCCTCCAATAGATGCCCGTGCTTTTTCCCGATGCATGTGTGTGTGTGTGTGTGTGTGTGTGGACTTTCAATTCTTAAGATGGCAGGAGAAGTGCGAGGAGGGGGGGGGGGGCTCCCCCGGAGGGAGGTGATTGCACATCCCCGTGGCGGGATGGACGCGACAACAGGGATGTCGGGCCCAAGAAGAACGCCAGGGATGAATGATTGTAATAATCAAGTAATCTCGCAACATTTCGAGCCAATGAGACACGGCGCCAGCGCGGGGCTGACAGCCTCATCAGAAGATACATGTTGCTGGGGTTTCTCCCCGGAGCGAGGGAGGAGGGCGAGAGTGGGGCGGGG